TTTCATTTCCCCTGTAAGCTATGATTATGTCGCCATAGTGACAGTCTCTTAATTCATCCTATACATACAGCCTATATGTTTACTACAAAAGCATATATAAACACACGTCTCTGACACCCTGAAGTTATTTAGTAGTTCCAGTGGAGACAAAGACCTCTCGACACTTCAATCGCTCCTTAGGCATTAACGTCTCATTTACTCCACAGTCTGTATTTCCCCTAGAACGTGGCTTTGTCTTTGTAAAGAACATACAGAGAGGTTAGTTTGGGAGCCATTAATATGTCTCAGTAGGTAAGGTGCTTGCTGCCAACCCTGAGGACCTGAGTTCAGTTCCTAGAACCCAATGGTGGAAAGAGAGAACTGACTCCCAAGGGTTGCCCTCTAACCTGCACACTTTTGCTGTGGCATGCCCCCCCATACATACACACACACACACACACACACACACACACACACACACTCCAAATGTAGAAAGGATTAGCTAATTAAACTTGTTTACATAAATGTTTCTCTCACGTCAGACAGGGTCCCCCAATTCATGCACATCCTTTGCGTTAAAGATTAGGGGAGAGGAGGCCTGGAACTCTTGAGCCAACAGTGTGTGAAGGAACTCACTGTGTGAGTCAGACCTTCATCCTTGGATGGTCACATACAGACCCGAGTCACCCTAGGTACTGATCACAGGAACCTGTCCGAATGATGAAATGGCTGTCACCAGCCTCTTTGCTTTGGGGTAATTTGTTATGTAGCTGTGATAATCAGAAAACTGTTGTCTCTCGGATGCCAGCATGCCTGTGGCTTCTATTCTTCTTCTTGCTAAAGTTCATTCTTTTGCAGCCTTCACTTTTTGGTGTATATTTGTGGATGCCAAATTCTCCTGGTCTTTATATAACTGAATACACCTTTCTGTTGTCCTCACCCTAGGAGGTTGGTGATATTTGTTCTCAGCATTTATAAGATGCTGCTCCACCGTTCCTGGCATCTGTTAGTATTCACAACCATCTAATGAATATTCTTTTCTCTCATCTCTTTCAATTTAAAAAAAATCTTAATCCAAAAGTTTAAAAGCATCATTGTGGATAAAATGAAGTTGTCTGGTGCTTTGGTGCCATTCATGTGAGTCTGGGTGACAGTGGTCAGAACGAGTGTGGGCTTTATGGTGAGGTTGACAGATCTGGTTTTGAACCAACTCTGCCATGCTGGCTCCTTGAGCTTGGGCAAAGAGATCCAACAAGCTCCCTTCCTGCCCTCGGGGAGGGAACCTGTGTCCATCTGCCTTGAAGAGTTAAAGTAAGACATAAGATCTTACATATTTATTAAATATTTGTTAAAGTAACTATTGCTGGCTACTGTCTGCCTTGTTGTATACCTAATTCTAGGGAAGTCCTTATTACATTCTGCTCCAGCTTCCTTACCTGACATACTGGAGGCAGTAATAGGAAAAAATGCTAATATAATGTCTAAAATCTATTAGGCTTTCCATAAATATTATTTTGTAGTTCCCATCGGTATTGAGCTTAGAAAGGCAGGTAGGTCGGGGCAGCTTATTGGAAAGAGCACACAGTTGAACCAAGAAGGATGCCTTCTCCCTGGAAAAACTGAATCTCTTACACACAAGTTCTCCTGCTCTCTGGGCATATACCAGGGAAGGAAATTCACGCTCTCAGTGCTTGGAGAGGGCCTGACCAACACTAGCAACATCAGGTCCTAGTGTTTAGCAGGCTCTGGGTAATGGGGAGCCAGAACACCTGAGTGTCGAGAAGCAGTTTGGAAGTTTCCATCACAGGGACCATGTCTGGAAGCCACTCCCTTGGGACCTCTCAGCCCCAGCTCGAGCCAGGAGGGTGAGCTTTGATGCTGGACAATAGAACAAACCTGTAGAAAAGTGGCATGTGGAAAGACACACAGCCCTGCCTCAATAGCTGTCTCTTCAGATAGTTTTACTCTGGAATACGTCAGAAACTATTGTTACTTTCCAGATGTCCACAATGGTGAAATAAATGGGCATTTGGCGAAAGGAAAACTCAGGTCTACCCTGAACGGAATTCAGATCAGTTGACTAAGGAGGAGTGGTTTTTGAGACAGAAGCCTTCATTTGGTCAATATAACCAGAACCAAAGTTTGTCACCTGTTACCTTTGCGAACTTCTTCTGGAGATACTGTTTACAGTAGAAAAGTCTGGCTACTCCAGAGCAACAGACGGACAGAGAGAACAGGAATTACAGAGACAACAGTGAAAAGTAACCAAGGAGAAGAAAGTATCAAATGTCTTTCAAACAGTTTGTTCTGAGGAGGTAGAGTCTGCCAGGGTCCTTTGAGATATTTCCCAAGATCACTGTAGTGGCCAGCCTGCCAAGCTGGCACTTGTACAAGCCGCACACTAGTCACCATGCTGGGGACCATGCAGAAGTTATAAGATACATAGAGCTGGCCCCTACAGCTGGGGGAGGGGGCCAGGGAACAGAGGGCTCTTTTTCCTAATTAGCTGTTTTCATACAGCGAACGCATGACCCAAACACAGCCACCAACTGGGTCTTTGACACATACAGGCAGAAAGGGGGAGCTGGGCTTTTGTCTGCCGCACATTCTTTCAACTTGCCTGTCGCCTCAAGCTGCAAAACTCAACAATGAGTCAGATGAGCTGGACCGTTTCAGAGCCTGCTGAATGAATTTAGAGGCAGGCATTGTCTCAGCTCACTCAAGGCTGGAAAATACCTAAGAGTGAAATCAGGTTAACTTCTCTCTTCTTACTGTGTGTGTATATGTATCATATATATAACTATATATGTATATATATAACTGAATGCGCCTTTCTGTTGCCCTCACTCATACTAAGTTGGCAGTATTTGTCCTCAGCACTTATAAGATGCTCTTCCACTGTTCCTGACATCTGTTAGTATTCACATCAGTCTAATGAGCGTTCTTTTCTCTCGTCTCTTTAAATTAAAAAAAAACTTAATCCAAAAATTTTAAAGCACCTGTGGATAAAATTAAGTTGTTTGGCTTGTTTGCACTATTCCTCTAAGTCTGGATGACTGTGATCAAAATTTTATACATATTCATGTACATATATATGTATATTTGCCATTTACCTGAGTTTCCAGTATATTGCAAAACAGTGTGATTAGAGAGGAAATAAACCCACCTAAACCATTTTAAAGAGTCATACATTTCAGGAAGAAATTCAAGGTATTGATAAACCACAATTTTTTTTGTCCAGGCTTCATTTTTTCATTGACCATTAACTCAGCTGAAACAAACGATCTGCAAATTAAAACAACAACAAGGGAAACCTCTGCCTTTCCTGCATGCTGGGGGTGGTCAGTGGTGTCTTGATTCCACGGATCAGCAAACGGAAGAGTAAGGGAGAAGGGAGGAGAGGCTCCTCTCGGTGTGCATGTGCTTGCATGTGCTTGTGTGGAAAAGGGTCCAGTCTTTGGTTTGGAAGCAATGAAAAGAAAAATCTCAAGATACTACTCAGCCATATGCCTAAGCAGAAGCAGCCACACACAAGAAGGCAGTTACACGCAAGTGATCTTTCCAGAGCCATGGATAACATGTGCTAACATTAACCACCAGGAACTGCAAGTCATCAAAATGCTACATCTGATAGCACTGCCCAGGCATCAGTGACCAGAGCATTTCCATACGCCACTCAAAGAGAGTTTCTATCTGTAGCTGAAGCATGGGGAGGCTCAGAGAACCCCAGGGCTGAGGAAGAAGAAATTGGTCAAGAGAAGGCCTCTCTTTGTGTATCAATAGCTTTCCTAGAGAACATACCTGCATTTGCCTCGGTGGCACCTCACAGTATGACACAGCTGGGACAGCGGCACTCACTGTATGACACGGCTGGGACAGTGGCACTTATTATATGACATGGCTGGGACAGTAGCACTCACTGTATGACACGGCTGAGAAACAGTGTCCGGTCCATAAAATGGTAGATGGAAATGTGTCAGATTAAAGCCCCAGAGGAAGCTGAGGGTTGATTGGCTTAATTTGAAACTAAGGAAGTGGGAGCATGTCTATACTTGCAGAAGACGGCATGGGAACAGTTACTCAGAAACTTTACCAAAAGCCCCTGTACAGACACCAGGAGACCAGAGGCCAGTGTTTTTAGAATTCTGAATATCCAGATAATGTCTTTCCAGGTTCTGCCTCCCTTGGCATGGGCAATGTGGGTGAGCAGACGTACTGCCTGTCTGCTGAAAAGCAGGCAGTTGTGTCCTATAGGTAGCATGATATCTTCACCGAGTTGGGGACCAGGTTTCTGCCTGAAGAGACAGGACCTGGAGATGGATCTCAAGCACCATCCTAGTGGAGAGTAGTAAGTGAGGACTTGGACCCGAGGGACCAAGAAAAGAAGGGGCGTGAGTACAGAAGTCCTCTTCTAGAGGATAGGCCAGAGTGCATTGCTGAAGAAACGTTAATCACAACACCAAAAGTCAATCTTAAACGAAAAGCAGTAGAGCACAATCCTGGGGAGTCAGTCCCACTGTTTGCAAAGGCTTAAACCCTGAGGCCTGTCTGTGCCCGGTCTCAGATCAACCACAGCTATGGAGTTTTGCAGATTGACCCCATGGAATGGCAGACACTGGGGACATCTGATGAAGAGTGCTTGGTCACAGCCACCCCACACGTCCTTAAGTACTGGCAGGTCTCTCTGTCAGCAGACCTCACTCTCACAGGGCTGTTTCACTATTTCGCCTTTAGCATTCAGTCAGTGCCTTCTCACTGTCTGAAGAGCCTATCAGTGGAGTCCCCCAACCCCAACACACGCCTTCATGATGTCCTTGTGGCCTCAGAGACAGCCAGTGAGGCTATGGATGACTCCACAGAGCTGGACTCAGTACACAGAGTCCAGAAAAGTGTTTGGATATTGTGGTGTGTGTGGGGGGGGGGCGGGGAGTCTGATGTGTGTATCTGGTGTGTGGTGTGTATGTACGCATGCGTGTGTGTGTACACATGCTCTAGCATATGTGGCACTGGGGTAATCTTACCGAAGCTGGGAGCACTGTGCAAGGTCATGTCCCGGATCACCCTCGTACCAAAGCAAGACCACATCAACAGGAACTGTTGGGCTACTTTCTTCAGGGACCCTTGTCTCTTGGCAGCCACCTACAAGCAAGTGAATGGCTTTAGTACTTCAGTCCTTTGTCCACTACTGGCTCTGAAAAAATGAGGGAAGGCCTGCACACCTTCAAAGCCTGTGAAGCTATGATTTTTTTTTAAAAAAAAATCTTTTTGGTTTTAGCAGAATAAATGCATTAATGAAATCTGATCCCAAGATGGTATGTACACTAACAAGGGGACACAGATCTGGATGAATCAGGAAGAGGAGACTCAGAATCCTGTCTCTGCCCCTCCACCTTTCAGGGCTGGGACAAGGTCTCCCTCCAGGGTTCCATAGATGGTGAGGAGTATTAGCTAGTTCACTCTGGTATTCTATGCTAGTTAGGTGTCCTAGAGACAACCATCGGCAGAAGCCATGGCTGCCCCTTCTGTTCTGCTCTACCAACCTTCACAACGCATCTGTCTACCATGGTATCCAGCCATTCTATGTAAGACTCAATGGGGGACTGTTCCTCCAGCAGGTGGTCAAACTCCTGGTACACTGTAAATGAAGCAGAGACAGACACACTCAAGTTGTAGTTCCACAGAGGTGTATTCCTAAAGGCACAGAAGACTGGACTGTGCGGCTCTCCGTGACCCAGATGAGATAAAATCCTTCCAACCCTCCCCTGCCTCTTGCCAGCAGACATGTCACCGCTCTTCATCACATCTCAGCACACTACTGTCTTTATCCTGCCTTTACCACATCATTAATAGCACTGGCTAAGAGCTTGAAATGTGTCAAGTCTCCTTACTGCTTCTCCTCTCATTGCTGGTCATCATTGTTTGGCACATTATCTGTGCGATGGCTGTTATTCTGGAAAGCCTTGCTCAACCCTTAAGCCCAGGGCATTACCATCTCTTGCTCTCTGCCCAGGGATGGTGCACATGCAGTGATCCCAGTGTTTCTGCAGCACAACTAAATTGCGTAGGTAGCTTGCCCAGCCTCTCAGTGGTAGGCGTGTGTACTTACTGCATACTAATCAAATGAAGCCTCCTGTCGCTCTCTTTGCCCTGTCTTCATCTTCAGGTTAGGAGACTAAGTGTGGAAGTGCTTAGAAATCAGGGAAGCACCATGGGAAACAGGTGCCTGGCTGGGGACACTCTCATTGGGGACATCTCTTTCACTGAATATTCCCGGTGTGGTTTTTAGAGTGGAACTAAGTAAATACAGCCATAGTTCAAGATCTCTATATGTCTCCTTTCTCCATGAGGCCCAAGTGAGACAGCCAGCCAATGAGCTTTACTTTGCTTGGTTGATGAATTCTCAAAGGAACCAAGCAGTCCTGATGCTTACGATGAAGGTGGGCTTTAAAAGTGCATCAATCTTTCTCTGATTGTAGATGAGGTGTTTGGTGGCTAGTATTGTCAATTTGACAGACTCTAGAGTCACCTGGAAGATTAGCCTCTGGGATTATTTAGATTGGGTTGTCTTTGGTGAAAAGGCCTATCTTAACTGGGGCAAGGGGGGGCCGTTCAGTGGGCTGGGGTCCTGAACTGAACAAAGAGGAGAAAGTAGATTGAGCACCAGAATTCCTCACTGTCTGATGAATTCCTGACCCTGGGAAGAGCTGACCCTGGGAAGAGCCACCTCAAGCTCCTGCTGCCATGCCTACCCCGCCATGATAGATTGCAGACTTGAACTGTAAGCCAAATGAACCCTTTCTTTCATTGGTTTTGTTAGGTTTTACCACAGGGATGGGAAAAGTCACTGATACAAGGTGCGATGCCTTAATGAGATTGATCAAACGACTCAAAGCCAGCCAGCAAGCAAGTTACACGGCAGAGCCTAGAACCAGGTTTTGGATGTGACTTTGGGGTTCTTACTCTGTGTCTGGACTACTGTGCTTTAGTCACTGAGGGTGACAATAATGATTATATAGTAAAAGGACCAGGGGAAAAAAATCAAAAACCAAAAACCAACTAACACCAACAACAACCCCCACAGCAACAGCTAACTTCCTTGTGCACTTGCTAAGGGACTGCACTCTCTTTGGTGACTTACATGGGTACACTAACTTAACCTTGAGACTGACTCTCAAGTGTCAGTGTCATGGGGGCTGTGTCATGCTCCCTGTCTGACTCCACCACTTAGGACTGCCTGGTATGGCGAAGATGTTCAGCTGGTTATTGAGTGAGTAAATGGACAAGCCAAGTAAGAATTTTTCTCATTTTTTCCCATCTGCAAATAAAGAAACTGAGGCACTTCAAGATGAGGAACTGCCCAAATGTTTTACAGTTAGTGAACAGCAGTAAGATTCCAAACAGCTCTACTCAAGCATCTGCCTCCTAGCTGCTGCCTTCGGGAGCACTACCCTGCCTCTAGGAGCACTCTCCCACCTTCAGGAGCACTCTCCCACCTTTAGGAGCACTCCCCTGTGTACTGACCATGTGATGCTTAGTTTCCTTTAATCTTAATCTTTTTGCATTATCCTCATTTTATAGAATAAAATGCCATGGTTACCACACACTGGAGCCAACATTTAAGCAAGGTCTTTTGTGCAAACTCAGCCCCGCCCTCTTCTTAAGGCTTCTCTTAATACTCATTCTGTCAGTGTACTCAAACACCAATACATTTAAAATCTGAAGTGAGCCAAGCAACCCGCTCTGTCTCTACACCACAAATGGAAAGGTGACCCTGACAGCAAGAGTTTGCAGATTTGTCTGCTGGTGGCGATGAAGGTGAAGAGTGGCATGGGGGTGTCCCGACCCCCTGCTCAGACTGACTTCTGGGCCCATTTATTGTGGTTCGAGGACTTTGCCTTGTCTATGTGGGAGGTACAGGTATGACACCTATGTACTGGGCTGTCGCCTCCAGGCTTGTCACCCTTCCTCAGACTCCCCTTTCTGCCATTCCATCATACACCACTGTCATGTCTTTGGCAAGATGCAGCGCTGTTGGGAATCAGCTTCTGACTTGCCATGAGCTCTGAGCTCCACGGCCAGAGGTCAGCGTCTATCTCAGTCATTGTCCCGGCTCTTAACAAAGAACCTGATCCAGGCTAGACAGACGTGAGGACCAGCTGGGTTGAACTTAACCATAATGCAATTCCAGTTTCAAATGACAGGATTCTATCCTGCATCTAAGGTAACTTGACAAGAGAACCCAAAGATTCTTTCTCAGAGACAATGTCCTGGCACAGGCTCAAGGTCTGGTCCCTTTGACTCCTGCTGACGGTGATGTTTCCTAAAGTCTAGTTTACATTTTATTCCCCATTAAAAGTTCTAAGGGGGAAGGGAAGCCAGTGCAAAACTATGAATTATAGCTAAACCTGGGAAATGAGGTCACTGGTGGGCTTCTGCTCCTCAGACACTAGCAGATTCCAGCTCCATGCCTGGATCATTGGGAGGCCCTGGTGTAGTGACCAGTGGTCTCCTACTGGCTGTTAGGATGCTTGGAACATGCTTTCTCCTGATTTAGCTTGGGGGCGGGGTGCAGAGCAAGAGTCATGCCTGAAGGCTGGGGAGATGTTCAGTGGGTAAAGGGTCTGGATCTTCAGAACTCCCATTAAAAAAAAACCAGGTTGAGCAGCACGTGGCTATAGCGCTAGCGCTGCTACAGTAAATGGAGGCAGAGACAGGAGACTTCTGGTTAGTCTTCTGTCAACCTGACACACAAACTAGAGTTATCTGAAAGGAGGAAACCTCGATTGAGAAAATGCCTCCATAAGAGCTGGCAGTAGGTCATTCTCTTAATTCGTGATTGATGAGGGAGTACTGTGTGATCCTGGAGGAGGCTCATCAACTCTCTGAAGCTGAGGTTTCCCAAATAGAAGCAGAGAGCAACACAAGATTGTCCCTCAGGTGGCTGAAAACCAGAATTAATGATACCACACAAGGTGGGTTTGACACAGCATTTGGCAGAGGGAAGGCAACTTATAAACTGCATTATTATTTAAGTGGATTTCTCTAAGAGTCAACAGCAGACAAGCGGGCTGAGGCAACCATACAGGAAGAAGGAAAAAGAGGCTGAGGTAAGGCCAGGGTCTAAACCCAGGAAACATGCCTCATGGAAGCTCACAGGTTCAGACAGTCCGGGGTTGCTATTTCCCCTTGAAGGACCTTAAAAGGAATCATTCCCTAAGAGGGAATCTTATAAAATGTTGGTTCATAAACAGTTCAGGCTTACATCGACTGGCAGAAGACAATAATATGGAGGAGCAGACCCTGTAACTCAGGGGGCCTGGACTTTTCTGAATCTAACTTTCCTCCTGGTGAGTGTCGGAGTGATGATGTCATTTACCCTACACAGAAGGCATAGGTGTAGAACCATCTACCCACTTCCCCAACAGCATACAGTCAGCCCCAGCCTCCCTGAGAGCCCTGAGAAGGTGTACTGACCACACTCCCTGACAGTGAGCACCCCTCAGGGACAAGGATGATTGGCCAAAGTGAGACATGCCCTGAGCAGTCGACTGCGCCAAGGCTCAAGGAGGAAGAGATGTATCTAAATGTGATGGCTGGTGGTGTTTTCCGCCTTGTATTGATTCACTTTTGGGAGCAAACATCTTGCCCACATCAGGGCTGTACTGGAACCTTACTTCCATGTAGGAAGTCTTTGTCCATATGGCCAAGAACACCTGTTCATAGAAGCAACTCATCACCCGTTCATGTCTTCTCAGACTTTAATATGCCTGAAAGGGTCACCTGCTGGCAGGCAAGCATGTGTGTGTGTGTGTGTGTGTGTGTGTGTGTAGGAGAGCAGGGGTGGGTTGACTCGTGGTCACATGACCTTCCACTGAAAAGTAGGCAGCACCTCCAGCTTGCTCTACACCAACACATCCTGAGACAGGTCATAGCGTTCTGTTCCCATTGTCCCTGTCACTGCCTTGGAGGTATGCATGGTATCCAGGGTCACATGCAAGGGTCCTCTGCATGACACTGTGTGCTGCCCACTGCTTCTGCCTTGTTGACACACGTCCTCTTAGGTCACTTAGCCCTCCTGTCTTGGCTGACCCATTCAACAAGAACAATAAGAAGAATGCGATCCAGGGAAGGGGACAGGGTGGGAACACCACTTGAGTATTTACCAAGATACTTTCTTCTTGCCCTTTTTAAAAACAGAAACAGAAGGAGCACAGCCCCTGGCGGGACACCTTACACTGGATGATGAGTCTGCGGTGCTCATCCCGAGAGTCCTCCATGGTATAGAGAGTCTGCTTGGTGATGCTACTCAGGTCCACATTCCTCCAGTCCTCCAGCATCTGGAACGTGATGTCTGCACTGTGGATCACTGTTCGCGATGCCTGAAATCCAATCCAACCAACTTGTCAGCACATAGGCTGTCGGGTTAAAAGCCCTCCTCTGCGCCCCCATGTACTTATAGCATTTTGTAAACTACTCTGGAATCCAGGGAAACTCAATTTCAAGAAATAATACCATAGCTCAGAAGACTCAGAGAGGCAGTCTTTCTTCCTGAGGCTCCCTCCTCTCTCTGCTTTTTGTCCATGAGGAGAACTGGGCCAGGCCACACCCTGCTCTTGTTCCCAACCCCTTTTGGTCATGACCCCCAACAGTGGGGGACAGAGGCACGGAGATCTGTCAGCTTCCTCAGTGAGCTGGTAACAAGGAGTTCTGTGTTTAATAACCAGTGTGCCTGTAGTGGCACAGAGTTGACAGGACCACACTGAGGGACTGCTACACAGAGATACCACTCTGGCTATCCTGGGCCTAACTGATACCCAGAAACTTCACAATGTATATTTCTTCACACAATTGTTATTATCATGCATTTTGGATTCTTATTCTTTGTTTTGATTTTTTTATATATAATTAGGATAGTGAAACAAATGTGACTAAGGTAGAGATGATAGGAGACATAAGGGGTGTGTATGTGTGTGTGTGCGCGCGCGTGCGCGCACACGCGTGTGCATGTGTGTATGTGTGTGCCTTTCAAAACCATAACTTCTCCAGCAAACCACTGTTAGTGAACTAAAATCCACAAGCTGGAACAGTGCTAACAATGGAACTATGTCTATGATTATTTCTTTTACTCATGTATTTTAAAAATGTTTTTAAATAATTTTTTTTGTAAAAACTGAAAGCATTGTGGGCATCATCCTTGGTTGCTAAGGCTTGTGAACTTCCAGGTAACCATAACTATATCCAGGTGGAGGTAACTCTACCCTGGCCATCTTCTGTTTAAGAACAAGTAAAATCCCACCGAAATAACTGCAACACTCTCTGAAGGCCAAAGCCATCCAGGATGTCTGAGATACTTAGACTGTCTGGATATTTGAACACATCAGCCTCAAATGTTGGGTAGGTGTGCTGAATTCAAGCACACCTGGGTCAGACCTCAGCTTTGCTGTTTGTGGCCTGTGCTTATACCCTGGTCTGATGGTCTGTGAAACAGATATACAGTAGGACCTGTCTCTGATATTCCTCCTGGTGCTTCTCATGATGGCTCTAAAGTGTGATGCATAGACTGGAAGCCAGGCTCTACATAAGTGGCTGTAGTTGTGGAGGTTGGCTTGTTCTGCACTGACTGGGCAGACACCTCGGAGCCTTGGCGCATTGTGTTCCCATAGACTGGAATGAATTGCCGACTTGCCCCAGCATCCCGGCTGTCCTGATGCCCTAGCATCCCAGCTGTCCTGATGCTCCAGGCTCAGTGTGACACCCATTTTATCTCTGTTAAATATAAATGCTATTCTATACCTTTTCTCTATAATATGCACACTTATTAATTTGTTGACTGACCGAGGGCTTGACTGGTTGATTGATTGACTCACTTGCTTTCCTGATGAAGGTAGGTACAACTGAGCATAGTATCTGACTCACAGCAAGTACTCAAAAGATTTTGCGAACTGAGTGACTGAGATATGAAAGCCAAGTTGCCTGCCTGACTGATGTATCTGAGAGAGCCTAGCTGTATAGAAGAGCCTTTGGCTGGATCTTGTTTAATTTGACTTACTCTGTGTATTTGTTTAGAAAAGCTCATTGGTTTATTAGCTCAAGTGTACCACAGTGTTTCATTCCTAGAATTAATACCAGTCCAGAGTTCTAGCTGGTCCAGAAATGTGTCTGGGAGCTGTCCAGTGAGGTTGGAAATGTGATATCTGCTGACTGAATTACATACTCTGCGTGTGAAAGGTGGCGTGTGTTTGTGCGCGTGTGTGTGTGTGTGTGTGCGTGTGTACATGTGTATATGTAGAAGTATATACATGAATACACAAACGCACTTGCCATATGTGAATGTAGGTATGGGAGTCAATGTCTATATGTGCATTAAAGTAAAATCCATCCTAGAGTATCTGAGCCCCAGAGAGAAACATCAAAAATCACATGTATATTGTCAGGTAGGTTTAAGCCTCCAAGCAAAAAGAGAGCGAAAGCCAGGCTGGCACACAGTCTCTGAAACACAGGACAAGAAGTGCTTCTTGGTTTTCCTAATAATCATGTTCTTCCCTGAGCTCCATCCTTCTGTCAGACTGTCCAGTCCCCAGATCAATGCCCAGGACTTGCCTTTGTCACAGCTGCCCCAATCTAGAAGGGGTTCTCTCTGTTTCCAAGCCATCCCATGTGCCTTCTGTGACAGGCAGGAAGAGTGAGGATTCCAAGGGGGTGTCTTCCTGGAACCACTCTCAGTTAGAACCCCTTCCTCCCACCGAACACGGTATAACCAGGATTTCCCCGAGAGCCAGAGGGCACTGTATGGGAGTGGCTGCCAATCTGAACATGTAAAGGCAGTTGAAATTCTCTCTCAACTACGACAGAGAATTGGGAAGAGGAGGAAAGGCCATCCGTGCCAAATGCTGACTACCACCCAGGTTACATGATACTCTGGGCAAGCTGCTGCTTCTCGAAGGGTTCTTACTTGTAATTAGGATGATCAGGTGCCATACTAAGTGGGACCATTGGCATCTACTGGGGAGAGAGACCAAGGGTGTTGCATCTCTAAGTGTCAACAGTAGTTGACAAATCCAGTAATTTATTTCAAGAAAACACAAACTTGGGGACCCAGGTCATGTCTGAAAGGTTCAGGGGCAATTGATGTTAGAAAGGACTGTGTAAATAGTTACAACTTTAGCCTCGGGCTGAGGTTTTAAGTTTCTTATGTATAGAGACTGAGCACAATGCAGAGAGAGCCCTGATATGTAACTGGATTGATGCCACAGGAAGTTATCTTTATAGATGTAGGTCCTGTCCTACCTGGCACAGATGGTTCAGCGATGTTTGCCTTCTCAGGATTTGGGAAAACCTCCTTGATACTGCAACAAGAAAACAGGAAGCTAGCAACTTTGGCATGCTTGGTATTCCAACCTCAGATTTCTCCAGAAGCCGATTTCAAAGAGTAGTTCCCATTTTCTAACTGTGCCTCGTCAATCTTTCTCTGTTTTTAGGGACTTACTGGCTGACTCCTGCTCCTGCCTCTTGTTCTGTTTTGGCTCCAGCAGCCGGTTCCTAATGATGCTATTTGGGGTACAGATTTCAGAGTCATGCACAAGCCACGCTCGCAGGTGTGAGAAATGGTGGTGCCAATCAACCGTGAGTAAAAGCAATTATCCACTTGTCTTTCATTCTGCTAATTGCAAGTTCAACCACCGCTTCCCAGATAATCACAGGACTCAAACGAAAGCTTTGAAGAAGCCCCCTTTAAAACTTAAGTGTGTCCCGTCGGAACGGTGACGGACCTCGGTGCTGTATGGCTGGAGTGCTGTTGCGGTGGAACCTGGGCTACCCCTGCAAGGGAGCTTGACATTTACCATCTGTCATTTTGCCCAATGGCCTCCTGAACCTGTTTTGATTTAGGAAAGGCTATGTTTGCCTATCTGCTGTAATAGTCTGATTATTTGAAGTAAAGGGAACTTGTATCTTTTTTTTTTTTTAAGAAGTGTGCCTGTTTGTGGTCTTTACTCTTCCACTGGGAAGTTTGCTTCCACTCTCTTGCACATTCACCAACCCCCTCAGGCTCCCTGGGAAAGACCACTTCCTCCAAGTGTGCACAGGTGGAGGGCCCAACCCACCTCCTCCTTGCCACAGATGTTGAGCCAGTTTCGTTTTTTTTGTTTTGTTTTGTTTTGTCGGTGTAATTAAAACGAGCACGGGGCATTCTTCTCATTAATTTCTGAACTGGTCATGAAATAGCCAGAAATTTCTTTAGGATTATTCTAATTTGTACCCAGAGCTGGCTTGGTTTATAAAATAGTGTGTGGGGTTGGAGGAATGGGGGAGGGGGGTCTGTGTGTGTGGGGGGAGGAGTCTGTGTGTGTGTGTGGGGGGAGTCTGTGTGTATGTGTGGGGGGGAGATGAACTTCTAATTTTCCAGGCCGATCAATTGTTAATCCTGCTCCTTAATTACTTTTTCTTTAACTTTGTGATGTGGAATTTAGTGCTGGAGAAAAGAAAAGAACTGAGAGCCGTGAAATAAAGCGGGCTTTATCAATAGGTGATGGGCGCTGCGGGCGGCCTCAAAGCAGGTCTGAAAGGGTTTCTTTGCCTGCAGAGAAAGGGTAATTTGATCCTTCGTCTTCCCCAGGGCAGTTGTTTTAGGCGAAGACTTTCGAGCTGTATTCAAACTGGCCTTTAAGAAACATATTTTAAACCTTGTTTTGCTTAAAAAATTACCTCATCTTCGCTCAGTAGCCACAAATGTGTTATACACACAGAGTCTTCACTACGCACAGACCCATCAGGACAGGGAACAGAACCAGCCTCCTCAGGCTCAGCTAAACGCTGGGGACTACACGGCACTACTTGGCCAAGAAATGATTCATGGCCCCAGCCCTTTTATAAGAAATATTAATTTGGCATTCTAATTAGGCAGAGGATATGTGAGCCTCTTAGGCTAGCTACAGCCTTTTGTGGGCTTCAAGGGAACCTTGGAGCATTGACTTGAGTTTGGTTTGTGGGTCCAAACGTGTGGCTCCCTGGTTCACGTTGTTATCAGACATGAGCCTGGGAGTAAACTCAGTCTTTGCTACTTAGCACCCCTCTAAGTGCCGGTCCCTTCTCTGTGCTGCTGGTGACAAACATTTTACAAGGACTAAATGAGTTCACACATGGGAAGCACTCAGCCTGATTCCTGGCGCTTTGTAGGCAGAGCATTATTTTATCAGTGACTTACTAGAAAGGAGTAGTTTTGAAATGTTGCTCTCACTTTCCTTCTCCTCCCAAGCCCAATGCTTACATTCAAATTTGATGTTTCTCAGGTTTTCCGGGAGGTCATGGAGAGCTACTTTCAGCCACTCGTCCAGCTGCTTGGCAAACTTTCGGATCACCTGAGTTAAGCTACAGAGAGAGAGAGAGAGAGAGAGAGAGAGAGAGAGAGAGAGAGAGAGAAGTTGTAAGAATGTCCTGAGTTTCCAGAGGAATTTATTTCACATAATCCTCCTTTGGCTGCCACCAATAGATGCCGCTGGTCAGAGCCTCCCAAGAGGCACAAGTGTGCAGCCTGTGCCTTTGAAGAGCTGATCGCTTTGGGAGAGGGGCTTACGGGAACCAGTGCCAGTCCATGATGCACAGTGGTTAGTAAAAGCCACTCCAACATGGTGGCATCCAGAATCCCATTTTGGGAAAGTCTTGTGTGAGGGGTGAGGATAGTTACACTTGGCCTAAGAAAGCTGTTTCGGAGCTGACCCCAATCCCTCATGCTTTTCTCCAGTCTTGTGCCAATTTCCAGCCTGGAAGACCCATGTGCAGCATTTGGAGATGCTTGCCCACTTGGCCTAGCAAACTGCTGCCTTCTGTGGGATCTTGGAAGCAACAGCTCATGAAAACAACATTATTTTGCATCTATTTATTCATTTATTTAACTGTGTGTGTGTGTGTGTGTGTGTGCACAAGTGCATGTGCATGTGCACATGCAAAGGCATGCTATAGCACATATGTAGAAGCCAGAGGAAAACTTGAAGGAGCTGCATCTCTCTTTCTACCATCTGGGCCCCTGGGGATTGAACTCATGCTGTCAGACTTGCCTTCGAGAGCCTTTACTGGCTGAGTCTACTTGTTGGCCTAGCAACAGCTTGTTTTAAGTTGAAAAAAAAAAAAAGCCCCATTATGGATGGACTTTGAAACCAGAGTATATTTTGAGGATGGAAAAGAGAGAGAAGGCCTTATACCCAAGAAGCAGCCAAGGGGCAGTAAGATCCAGTGTGCGATGGGGAAACATTAGACACCATTTTCAGACTCCACATGAAAACCATGTGCTTGTGGCCTCAGATCCACTTTCTTTCCGGGTATTGCCAGACTCAGAGGCCTCTCCTCAGGGTGACTGTCCATACCACCCTGACCCAGGACCAGCCACTTCCTCTGCCCTGGCTCACGTGTCCTCAGCCTGTCAGACCACAGTCACTGACCTCCACAGCTGTTCCTGACATTCCTCTGCTTTAACCCACTCGTGTCTTTAGTGACCAGTTAGTCCTAGCCCTCTCTACAACCCTCACCCCTGCAGTCCCTGCCCTCCTTCCCATACAGATGGGATGGCACAAATGACAGCATGGTTGCCATTCCACTTTCTCTGCACAAGCCATGTAGCTTCTCTAACAGAATCAGGGAGGCACCTTCCTCTCATCCTAAGGCTAAACCCTTCAGCCTTTCCTACTTCTCAGGGACATTGCATGACTGTCCCTTCTCTTGTGAATTCAGCTCTCCTTCTGGGTTGGACCATTCCTCTAGTGCTTTGATGGCATTCAAGAATGACTCATTTTGCAAAAAGGAAACTTCTGTTATTTAAAAAAGAAAGGCAGGTTCCTAACTCCTCTTCCTGTCCCTAGTCGGTCCTCTGGAGCTTATTGCCTCTTACTGTTTGATTGGTTGGTTGGTTTGGTTTTGGTTTCTTAAGGTAAAGGTGTTTTATTTTTGTTGTTGTTTGAGACAGGGAGGATCCCACCATGTAACCCTGGCTAGCCTAGAACTTCCAACATAGACCAAGCTGGCCTTGAACTCAAAGAGACTCACCTGCCTCTGCCTCCTGAACGCTGGATTAAAGGTGCACGCCACACACAGCCTTCACTGTTTCTCTCTGGGTGCAGTTACCTTGCGCAGCCTCCACCTTTGCTGTTCTCTCCTTCCCCAGATCCTTGTGTGGCGTCTATCATTTTCTTTGTCCTGTGGTTCAAAGTCACCTCCCCAGAGCAACCTTTCCTGTCACCTTAACACTTTCCCACGACTGTCGTTTGCTGATCCCGTTCCCCTCCTTCAGTTTTGATAGTTTACATGTGTGGATGTTTTGCATGCATGTACGTCTCTGTACCACATACATGTAATGCCTACAGTTCTCACAAGGTGGCACTGTAGTTACTATGGGTTGTCAGCCAACATGTGGGTGCTAGGAATTGAACCAAGGTCCTGCGGAAGAGCAGCCAGGGCTCCTTAACTGCTGAGCCATCTCTCCATCCCACAACCTGATGAATTTTAAATGTAATTCAGTACTGCATGACTTTAGCAATGTAGTACATTTGTTTACTTATGTCCTACCCTCCGCTGCCCCCACTAACTCGATGTAGAATTCCAGGAGGGCAGGGGCTTACTTTTTATGACTGTATTTCCCAGGGCAATCAATAAATACCTAATGAAAATGGAATGTGGGGGAAACCTTCAAAAATGGAGGAGTGAGGGAGATGGCTCTGTGGGCAAAGGGCATGTGCTACAAACACGAGGACCTAAGTGTGACCTCCAGAGCTCTACAGAAGGCTGGATACGGACGTGCACATCTGTAACCCCAGTGCTTCTAACAGCAGGATGGGAGGTGGAGACAGGAGGACCCCTGGAAGCCTACGGGAACACCAGTCCAGTGTCCACAGCACTGAACAACAGGGGACCAGCAGAGGCTGTCCACCCACTGGACTCCACGTGTGTGCCGTGACAGATACATATGTGCTGCTCACATATTCATGCTTGTACATATACAGAGTACACACACACACACACACACACATACACACACACACACACACGTTAAGCCCCCCAGCCGCTTCGCTGCCTTCTTTGTTCTCATGTGTCCCGTTCCCTAGGCAGCACAATCCATCTAAGCAGCGGAGTCCATGAGGTCACCTTGCTTTCCGGCTCCCCCAGCATGGCAGTAGCTGCTTCACTCTATCCGCCCCCAGCATCACTGGGCGCTCCCTGTAGCTGCTCCTCAGCCAGAGCTTGACGCTCTCTGCCCAACCATTATAGCTCCAGTTCTGGAGGATTAGAGCCCTCATTTCAATTCTTCTTCAGACTTCCATGGGCGGGCACCTGGTGCATTCGCTTGTGGCATGGAAAATTCAGCCGGTATTCCAATTCCCCACTTCTTGTAAAGGCATCTTTTAGTTTATTCGAATCAATGATATGCATGTCGCGTGTAAGACATACCATCCAACCTCCCAAGCTTTCTCCATTCAGTTGAGAGCCTCTCATCTCTTGGCATCCTGTGACGGGTTCTCAGGGACATCCCACACTGCTGTGATCCATTTCTCCCTTGTAGTGTTGTTTATTCTGTTCTTCTGTCCTATGTGCTTCCTGCAAGGACTTCAGGCCTGATCCAGTGTGGCCACAGTTTTCTGCTTAGTCCAGGAAACCTTGCAAGTGACCCCTATGGTTCATCGACCAGGAGGCTGTCCATGGCTCAGTGTTTCTCTGTTAGTGTGCAGTTAGATGTGCCATCATAGACTCTTGTCCCTTTTTGGCAAGGGCTGCAGATTTTTTTTACCTCCAAATGACTACCTAAGTGCATCCAATATGATCCATTTTCTTCTGCCACCATCTCTAACCTGGGCTCCAACATTAACTCCCCAGGCACCCTGCTACTTACTATCTACCGTACCTCCATCTCAGTGCGGGATGAAGGGACCATTTCCCTCAGGGTGCTGATTCGTGTCTCCCTCAGGTTATAGGTCCTCATTGCCTTCCTCTGTCCTGAGAATGAAGCCTCAAATCCTCACCCTAGTCCTCGAGGCACATACACTCTCTCTCTCTGGCCCTACTTTGCTCTGTCTTGGGTCCCCCTGGCCTCTGCCTGGTTAGTCCCTTCCACCTACGACCTTTGTCCTTCAGGTGCTTTGCACCAAGAACATCTCTTTAACTCATGGGCTCAGCTCCTCCTCACGCCTCTCATCTCGGGCTGGCTGTTGTACCTGTAAGAGAACCATCTCCAAAGCCCCCAAGACAAGGTGAAAATCTACACTTCCTCCCTCCGGGAGGCTCTGTTGTTGTGTTGGTCAGGTTGTTCTGTCCTGGCTTATGTAAGCATCTGATGACTGCCATCTTTCACTTCACTCTGCTCTCTGGGGGCAGAGGTCAAGGCTCCGTCTGTTTTGCTTATCACTTTATCTTCAGCATCTACCGTAGCACCAGGCAGAGTTGGCATTCGAGAAATGCTTTTTAGATGTAATGAATAAGTAAATGTCTCTTGATCCTCAGACGGATAGAGCCCAGCCGTCCTTCACAAGGCCCCGCGCAGCCTCCGTCTCCCTCATCCCATGACCTCTGCTTGCAGCTGCTCGCACACGCTCCTGGCTCACCCCATTTCAGCAGCACTGACTGCCCCCTTCATGTTTTTCTAACGCCTCAAGCCCTTGCCCACTTTGCACACGCTAGCCCCTCTACCTAATACATTCTTGCCCTAGATAATGGACAATCCCTTTCCCTTACTGATCACTTGACTGCAGTATTTCAAGTCACTGGTCTCTCCCCATCCTGAGATCCTGTGCTGACCTCAATCCTACCGTGTGACAGAAAACAAAAACCACTCTGACTTCCAGGATGAAAGTTAACGACAGGAGATGCTGTAAGGCTGGAACAGGGAGCATTGTTTGGACATTGTAATAAGCTGGGCTTATTACAGAGAGAGGCCCAGGCACGAGCAGGAGCAGGATCGATGCACTAATGTCAGATTAGAATGTCCTAGAGGCAGAGCCAGCAGGCGTTTCTGAGGAGTGGAGGTATGTGGCAGAGGAAGGAAGTGAGTCTTCCTGAAGGAAAGTGGAGCTAGGCACCATGCCTCACCAGGGGCCTGGTCCACAGAGGTGCCTCCTTAGCCCTGAAGGAAGGATGAACCCCAAACATTCAGGGTGTCATAAAGGCAGGCCCACATGGCTTGTCATCCACAGACTGGGGCTGAATTCTAAGTAGGACAACTTCTCAGAATCCACGACTGCCCTCCACAGAGGGCCTGGCTTTAAAGAAGCGCTGGGTGGCTGCCCAGTGGCAGAGAGGCAGCCTGCCATCCTCCAACCATGCATTGCTGTCTCTGGCATGCAGCCGGAGCTGGGAGCTGGCCTTTGTCTGGAATCAGAAAGAATGCAGCA